TTATCAAAGTACTGTACGGGTAGTTTAGTGATCAATATTGCACATAGCTACAATTAGTTACAAAGACTAGTGATAATGAAGCGGATAGTCCAATGAAGCATAACTCTTTAAAAAAATACTGGTAGGTACTCAACAAAATTCTTACTTAAATACAAACTCCGTGTAACCGCACAAAAGGTCAACTCTACGGAACGACGAACCAAAGCCGTTGGTTATAACCAACAGGAGCAAAACTAACATGATAACCTACATTACTATAAAGGAGTGTACCCAACTAAAATATTCACAGAAACCCGTAAATCTCCCCTGGAATGAGGGCAGAACTTGTAAAAAGCCTTTAATAATTTCTCGAAAACCTTCGTTACTGAATGCCCCGGACTTGGTTGCCATAACCCATAACGGGGCTTATTCCCAAGCACGAGGCATTATAACTGGGAGTACTGAGCCAGGCTAGATAATAAAAAGACAACATTGGAAGTGTTTCTAAATAAATTATTAAGTAGTAAGCTAGTGGGACACTGAGTACGTTATTTGTGAAAATAAGACTTTTTGCCTTTTTGTTTTATGTAAATGGCATTACATTCTCCATGGTAATAATCTTGAAAGCAGAAACCTACTGGGAATTATAAACCAAAATTGTCTGTGATTCTTCACATTGGCCTAGCAATTAGCTTCGGCACTACGTGTTGCGGTATTATTTTCTACTTTTCTGTGAGATGTTAAAACAGTTCGTTACTAAAAAAATTCTTTCGAGTATAAATTTAAGTGTTTGTGAAATAATCAATGTTTTTTTTTTTTTTTAAAAATATATCTCTATACAAAATAAATTATTATGTTTTCGTCTTACTCACGTAATTATTTGACGAGGAACTCGACACTCGACTAGTTTCGTGATATTTTTAATTTAAGATGAAATAATTACGTGAGTTTGCCGAAAACATAATAATTTATTGATTAAAATATACATCAAGGTGCATTCAGTACACGAATTTCAAACGTCAATGTTCAGTTTTAAAATTCGTTAAATAAAATACCATTTTGTTTCGCCAAATAGGGTTTCAGGATTATTTTTTTGCATTTTTGAAGCTCCGACAAAGGTAATAAAAGCATGAATTTCGTTTATAATTTGTTATTGATAGATTGAAAACCTTTTATTTTGTTGCAGGGAAAAGGTTTGCTGTTAATCGAACTGCTTATGTTCCCGGTCGAATAATGTTTCTAATAGTTTCTTAGTAACACTGATTTGAATCGTACTTATATCATAAGAATATGTCAACAAGATGGGCCCAACAATATATTTTTTTCTAGTCGGTTGTTACCTTCCTAGTTACCGGGTCGAAGCAGGAAGAAGAACGGGATGGTTTATGGTCAGTAAGTCTAACATTCTCTCTCGCCAGACATTACTTTTGTAAGTAAGAGAAGTCTTTGATGATTTTCTTCCGCAAAAAGAGCCTGACATATTATATGACGTACTGATACAAGACAAAACAATGGATAAAGTCAATCAAAGAAAAGAAATCAATAGATAAAGTCACAAAATCCTACATCGTACGTGTGATGTTTACATGAGAATTAACACGGATAGAAAATCCCAACGAACCCGTTCGGTAGAAAGCCACGAACACCTGGCCTGGTCGGAGGATCCTCCTTTTCCGATTCCAAGCAACTCTACTCTCTGTTCCCTAAAAAACTAATACGCCTAAAATCTTAGTATCAGCTGTTAATAAAACTTTCATTGGAACATAACATCACGCCTTATATCCCCAAAGAGGCAGAGGTGCACATTACAGCACTTAATGCCACTGTACAATGTAACACCTACTTTTCACTATTTCTGTTATGAGTCCCATGTATAGGTGGTGAGCCTATTGCCATGTACTGGGCACAATTCAAGACTCCATGCTACTACTGAGATTTAAAATAAACCCATATACCTATACTTTTCCCGACCCGGCAATCGGTCAGTCAGTCAAGCTTTAATCAGAAAACGTAACCATATCTCTTATTGTATCACCAACTTAATATCGCCTGCTTCGGTCCGTCTCGATATTTTTTATTCACTATAAGAAGTTTGTCGGTTACCTCAAGTCTTATCCTACATACAGGCTTTGAGAAATGTTCAAGAAATTCTTTTTATTCAAGGAAAACCTTTAATTAGTTTACTCGTCTAGTAGAAGTTTAAATCTTCGTGTTTTTAAACGATTTTGTACAGTTAGATTTACTGCTGCTTCTAAGTATAAAGGAGTTTACAGTTAGAGTATTTTTTTAAGTAATGGCTTACACTAATATTGTCAAATTGTATAAACAATCTATTCTTTACGATCTGTCTAAAAGTTTCAATGTTTTTTTGTCAAATGTTACAACTATAATTTGAACCTTATTATATTAGTAACTAGCTTCTGCCCGCGACTTCGTACGTGCAATCCCATTTCCCCCGTTCCCGTTCGTGATTTTCGATAAAAAGTAAAAAAAAGTATTGTATAAAAAGTATCCTATGTCCGTCTCCTGGTTCTAAGCTACCTTCATGCCAATTTTCATCTAAATCGATTGAGGCGTTCTTGAGTTATAAATAGTGTAACTAACACAGCTTTCTTTTAGATTACTTGTATATGCCAATGGTTTATTTAATTAATTCAAATATTCCAATTGATATTGTAAATGCTGTATTCAATCCAAAATCAATAGATACAATGTAACAGAATGATAAAACATTAGTCGCTTGTAACATATAATATCGCCTGTATCGTAACAACTTGTGGTGGCAATTCCCTATGTAGGAATTCCATTCACGCTTCCTAGTCTAAGAGCTATACAATACAATTATTCATCTTGTATGCCAGATACTGATGTCTTACTAATGTCAAATTGAGATTTCATTTCCATTTATGAATTAAATTATTACAATTATTAGAATGCTTTTCACTATTTTTTTTCTTTTTTATGTATTTATTACATGGAATTTTGTATTTATAGATACCTACTATAATGCTATGTGTAATGTTATAAAGAGGAAAAACTAATAGACTATTTTTTAGCGAATCAGGACCTAGTTATTCCAATTTCGAAAGCTGAATAATTCGACATGGACAAAGCAGTTCAGATACCAAAAAAATAAACAAAAAAAAGTAAAATTCTCATGTAACGCCAACATCAGAATTGAATTGTCTACTATCTCCTGGCCTACACATCGCACTGCACATCGTCCCAGTATTAATATTGCACGAACACTCGCAGGTGGCGCATGCGGCCAAATTGAAAATTGCTCGCATCGGCGCCGCGACGCCACTCGCAATTATACACGCTCAATCTGCACCCGAACTAATGAACAAATTCGTTTGTTTTGTTTAGATGTAGAAGTGCGTAATTTGCGGAGATTACGAAAAATGCAATCAGGAACTCAGAGGTTAGAGGTATAATTATTTATTTTAAAATCAAGTAGGTAGGTACCCTTTTTAGATTATTGTAAAACAACATCTAAATTTCATAAAATCAAAATCAACTAAAAATGGCGGTCGCGGCGACGTCGCGCAGCTCACTGTCTGGCGTTGGCGCCCGCCTCGGTGTTGCTGCTTGCTCTGCGATCCCAACTTTCGCAGCGCCCAATGCTCATGAGGAAGAACCCCTCTGTAGTTCAAAACTAGTAGAGCTTTTCTCGGTATATTCACGTGAATAACCCGCGATTTTAGTTAATAAAGTCATTTATTTTAATGAGACCAGGAAGGCGCATTTGAACGTCAAAACAAAATGGCAGTCGGTTAGTCCTCCAGTGAAGCTATTTGCTCGTTCCAAAGTGTAGATTTCTATGGAGAAGAACGAGGAAGAATCTCCGTTTTGCGTTGGTAATGCACTTACTAGCAGTTTACGTGCTATTATTGAGATATTTGGGAAACTAAAAATTCCCAATAATATTTCTCATAGTCGAAATCTATGAACTCAAAAATATAGAGTTTTGGAATATTTATTAAAATAAAACACAACAGTATAAAACATACTATATTAAATATACTTTTTAAACTAACGTAATTTGTACTGTAATGTAATTATGAAATTAATTTTCAAATCAAAATTTCGAAACTACTAGTTCATTCATGGTTCCACAAGCAGAAGCATTTACCAGATGGTCCATAAAACGCTTAAAAAATATACTAAAACCTTAGTTTAGGCCAACTGTATCTTAAATTCACTAATAAATACAATGTTATAATATCATCACTATGCTTTACTTGATATATTTGTCCATAACTTATTTATTACATTTACGTCTTTATTAAATAATTGCTTAATTATTATTCTATAGACTTCTATTAAATTCATGTCAATTCGTTGTATAAACGTGCCAACATGCAAACACTATTTAATACATAATTTCATTTCACATTTACCTATGCATCTACTCCTTCCAGTCAAAACTTTTATTTACTACGTCATGATTTAGTTTCGATGTTGTGTCACTAGGTAGCATCGGTTTATCTTTATGGCCTATAGCCTCAGCTTCCTTCACAGTATCAGGTAATGCATCATTGGCGACGTCAGGAACGAGGAACGTTGCAAACCCTGCTACAAGCGATGAGATTCCAAATACTAGTGATGGTAGTCCATGCCAATACATCGTCTGAAACAAAAAGGTTATAGTTAATTATTATGCTGCTACAACACAATAGCAGCGCGACTGTCACCGCGTCGCGGGTCGCGGAATGCTGCTCATGAATATGAGCCTCTAGCGTGGCTTGAAACTAGCCTAATTCCTCGTCAAATAATTACGTGAGTCAGCCGACAAATGTAATAACTAATTTAGTATGTCTCACAAAAGTTATATAATAAGTTTGTAGTTGCATTTGAAGCTCAGAAATTGTCTTTAGAAAACTTAAGAGCGATTAAACTTCAGATACATCCCAACGAAAAATTAATGCAAAGGATTCGTCTAGCAAAGGATGAAAATTAACGAATAATGTTTTGTGGTTCATTAGTAAAAAAAAAATTGAATGCACTTCAAATCAGTTTTAGTATTTAAACAAACTACTTACCAAAAGCGGTGTCTGCGGCGCGACTATAGAACCCACTCTACCCAAAGATGAGCATAACGCATGCATGGAGTTCCGCGTATATGTAGGGAATAATTCCGACGTATACATGTAAGTGATGCCGAAGTACAGAGTCACCATCAACTTACTGACCAAGAACGTTGTTATTGACAGCCATTCATAATCTGCAAAGTAAATTGAACGTTTTATTTGAGTACTTACATCACGTAATGGCTAAGAATTTACTGTACTAAAAATGGTTGAATAAAATCGGTTGTAAAAGGTAATTATGGTTATGTAGCTTCTACTCACTTGTAGGCAAGAACGGTTGTACAACACAAAACACACCAGCCAACAAGAAGCTAACAATCAACGGTATCTTCCTTTTATACTTCATCAGCACATACATTGCTATAAAACTTCCAGGAACATCAGTCATAGACACTAAGGCAAAGTTCAAGTATATGTTCCCTTGCAAAGACACAGATGTTATGGTCATCCCATAGTTCACAAACGTAGATGTCGTCCACCATATAACACAGACTATGAACCTCTTAAACAAGGCACCAGAAGTAAACGTACTCTTTAACACAGTTCCAAATTCTACATTCTCTTCTTGTTTAGTATCGCTTACTAGATTATCTAGCATCTTCTGGTCTAATGTAATATCATTCTTTTTTGCCATTTTCTCCACAATAGCTACTGCTTCATTCTTCTTGCCCTTTATTAGGAGCCATCTTGGACTTTCATCTAACAAGTATATGTATGAGAAAAAGAGTAATGCTGGAGCGTATAGGACTCGTAGGAAGTTTCTCCAGTCAGGAACCATCCAAGCTACGAGGGCTTTTAATATACCTCCGACGCTGTACCCGATGGAGCATAACATGTAGTAGGGGACACGTTTGGTAGTTGCTATAATCTCTATATCTGTAACAAATAAACTCGTAAGTTATAAGAAGCACAATAATATTATGAAATACGAATTGAATGACTTACTCAGTATGTAAGCTGGTGAACAAATGTCTCCAAAGGCTGACTCCAGAAACTCCAAGACTATATACAGCCAATAGGAGGTGACAAAACTCCTGGCGATACCCAGGACTCCGCCCAACACGCCTGTCGCTATTATCAAGGCTTTTCTTCCTATTCTGAGAATAAAAATGATGTTGGAATAAGGACCACAATACCGTCACCGAAAGGACCAAATTGTCTTAATGTCATTTATAGAAAGAAGGATCTACTTAAATATTCGTGACAACTAAAATATTAGTGCCTATTTATTTATATTCTGCTACTAAATACCGATACTACATTTCAATACGTTATTTATCATCCACGCATAAATCTACATTTGCATTGTTAAAATTGCCAATTAGCATTTTAACAGATGAAATACAATTTTATCTTTATTCACGTTGCAGTAATAAATCGACAAGTACACGCTTAATTAAGTGTGAAGAGCGCATATCGAAATACTTCATTGGAAATTGAAATAATTGTTGTATTGTTATATGAAGAAACAAAGAAACTGTTGTTTTATGAATGGAATAATAATTCAAAGAAAGGAATACTTGAATTCATCGAATGGAGTCAAGCTTTCAAAGTAATTTTAAATGGTTGCCCTGTATTTGGTATCTCTTTAAAATAAGAAAAACAGCTGCTTTTCTAGGATAAAATAATACAATCAGTGACCAAAGCATAATAAGGGTCCGTCAGCAGATTCAATGTCGCCATAATAGTAATATCTAGTTTCAAACAATATAATGTTAATCGGTGAATCATTAAACCACAACAATATTTCTTGTTTATTATTTAATATTGTAACATTTACACTGTAGCTATTTATGATCCCTAAATAAATAAATAAAATAAACAAGAAGTTTAAAAGTGCTAAAACATTATTTTAGATTGTAAACGAATAACTAAGTGTATCAAAATATTTACCTGTCTGATAAAGGACCAACAAAAAGTAGCCCAACCATATAAGCTAAGCTGTGGACCGTTCCCACTAGGGTCCTCTTCAAATCCTGGCAGGCGAGCTGAAACTAATGAAAAAGATATCCTATAGCAATAATTTCCTATAGCAATAAATTGCTAATGCAAAAGGACCGGTTTACTGTTTATCAGGACGAGGACAAGAAGGCAAGACAGGCACAATTACAACAAATAGCAGTCTATAAATAGTTCTCATTGATGTACAAAAAAAAACATAAGACAAGTCTTATTTACCGGCCTACATTTCAATCTTATTGCATTAATGATAAGTTTTGATGTGAGGATGATATTGCTATCGAATCATCATAATTTAAGTGTGTCAGAGCCATGCCTCGACACGAATGCGCCGTCTCGACCGGGGTAATACCACAGCTTCCCAGAAAACCGACGTGAAACAACCGAAGCGACGTGTTTCGTCGTGTGAATGAGGTGGTGACAGTTGCAGTCCTTGATTGGTGGAACATGATGAACTGCGCATTCATCTAACATCTTGAAATGCATCTAAATGTACTGTGTTCAGCAATAAAGATATTTGATTTGATTTGAGGTTACTGGAGGCCCAATTACCCCAATCCCCGAATACCCAACAATCCTCAAATTTCTAATCCCCAAAAGGCCGGTAACGCACTTGTATCGCGTCTGGTGTTTCGGGTGTCCACGGGCGGCGCGGATTGCTTACGATCAGGTGATTCGTCTGTTTGTTTACCGGCTTATTTCATAAAAAATGCATTAACAATTGATTGTAAATTGAGGTCGCTTCAATGATGCCAATTACGTTTTATTATTTTTTATCTTCGATGAATTATGAAAGATCTTGGTCAGTACACAAGATGAAGTACTTAAAAAAATTATCTGTCACGCAGTGACAAATGTGATTATCAAGAGATATTATCAAAGTCTCGGATTTAATTTCAATATTACTGTCTCGGAATTTAGTTTTAGAAATCTTGTAGGTATTCTTACACGTGGCATGAGGCTCATCAGCCAGTACATGAGAATCATAACATAACTGGCAGGCATCGAATCAGTATGACGTGCGGTTGCAGCTATGCCTTTAACAAATAGGGGATTGAAATGTTTTTTTTTTAAACTTACGTCAGCCACAAAACTCTCTGGTTTATCATACACCCATTCGGTACACGACGTCCCATTGATAGTACCACACATATTGTCTGCGAAAGTTTCATCTCTACACCTGTAACAATGAAAATATACGTTTTATTTTCGGTTACTTAAAACTTGAAATACACTACAATTCACAGACACTATATCAAATTGTAGTCTTACTCTGACGTATTATAGTAAGTAACTTCACTTTTTGCTACAATTGTTTCCTGTATTACCAAAGACATTGTTTACCGCGTCGTTGGTGGTGTGGTTGCAAATGCAACTGCCAGGCAAGGGATTTCGGGTTCGACTCCCGGGTCGGGCAAAGTATTGCTGAGTTTTTAAATAAATCTCAGTAGTAGCACGGAGCCTGGAATTGTGCCTGATATATGGCAATAAGCTAACTCTCTATTACATGGAACTCATAACATAATTAGTGAATAGTGAGTGTTACTTAATATAGTGGCATTAAGTGCCGTAATATAAACCTCTGCCTAACCCTTCGAGGATAAAAAGCGTGATGTTATGGTGATGATATTGTTCACTTTTTAATTATGATGCTCTTTTATTCCATGTTTGACATAGAAATGTATCTATATATATGATAAGACCGCCTTTGTGCCCATTATTATTTTTATTTATATTTATCATTTCCTTTTCTGTATGTACTTTATTATTAATGGTGTACAATAAAGTTGTATTCTATTATATTCTATTCTATTCTATAATGGCTTATCGAAATCTGTACATTGTCTTTAATTTCATAGTACACAATATTGCTCTGTACTATCACAAGTATCAATACCACGATAAGTAATTCATAAATAATTTACAGTTGCCTGATGCACTTTGATAATATTGAACACTATCTCAGACATTTCTATTATCATTCATTACAACTGACAATGACTATGATATATTTACTTTACTATGACAGTGTATACTATCAAGTTCACACGATAACAATGCAACGCATCTTCAAACAATTACATTTCAATAAGATTGCAGCTATGCATAACATTTCCTTTGCACAAAGATACTTCCCAGGCTTTTTATGTTATAATAATTTGTTTTGTTATATGAAAGCAACTACTTATACACTCGAGGATCTTGGAACATAGTGATAAGGAACGTCAATTGGAAATTTGAGCATCTGCAATGATACGTAACATGTTGCTAGATGGCGCTTGATGTTACATTTGCCTTTAGACTATTTTTGTATATTATTTACCAGAAGTGCAAGTATGCATACATACATACATAACTACACGCCTGTCTCCCATGGGGGTAAGCAGAGACTATAGAACGCCAATATAGTATATTGAAAATATAGTATAATGGAAAGATCTAACTATTTGTTTATTCACTTTATTAGGTACAAACTAATTACATTAAGTAATAGCATATCTACTTAATTCTAATACGAGTATTTGTTGAAACTAATATTATGAATAATTAATATTATGAATCATTTATTTTTTAATCCATAGTGATGTTGTCAACGCGAAAATGTGTGCCTGTTCATTTGTCTTTCTTTTACGGCAAATTGGAGCAACATATTGACGTGATTATTTAAATGGAGATCGTTGAAGAAGTGGTAATAATAAGCCTTTTTATTCGGATAACAAAATACTGTCTTACATTATTGACCCTAACTTAATTTTTTTTATAATATTATTAGTTGAAGAGATGGAGAGTGATATAGGCTATGAAACGTCACTATACGATCATATCAAAAAGGAGTCGGGCAGCGGGTGAAACCGTGTGATAGTAGTTAGTCTTCAAATATTTTTTTATTACCTTATAGAATAAAGACAGGTTTGACATTTTTATTGTTTTATTTTTATAATAAAAATAAAGCAATTTACTTCTTTTTCCGTGACCTTAACATGAAGGTTGTGCTCATTCTCATATCATCTTACCTAGCTGTCTAAAGGTGCGTCATGCGCGCCTCAAGGAGCCATCAGACCACCACAGATGGGGACCAACAGGGCTGATGTCGATACGGAGCCGCGAAAGACTTAACGGGTTGCCGGGGCTCCGGCTCGAAGCGCAGGAGAAGGAACGGGGTGGTTTTTAGGCAGTAAGAGTCTGACACTCCCTCTCGCCTCATCCAGCCGGGAGAAGGTATTGGATGATTTCCCTCCTCAAAAATTGGTTGCCTGTAAAGTCGGTATACGGGCGAAAGTTTTACGTGACAACGACTTTGAGTGGTAAAATAATTTGCCTATCTCTCTCACTCTCTCTCTCTCGCTCTGTCTCTCTCGCTCTTAGGCGGGCTAACTGTGCTCGAGTGGAAGGGACGCGTGCCTTTCACTTTTTATGTCTGTCTCTCTCGCTCTTAGGCGGGCTAACCATGCCCGAGTGGAATGGACGCGTGCCTCTCACTCGCTCTCATTGTGAGCGCATAACGTGAGCGGAGCGTAACGCAGTTTCTTGAAGTGTCACCCGGCAAACCAATTTATAAGACGTTGTCACGTCAAAAAGAAAGGTCGCAAACAGCTCGCGATCTGCACATTTACGGCTCATTCGTCAGATGTGGACGCAACCTTAAACTACTCAGATAATTGCATTTGCACTATGATAGATGTAACGTTAATTTGATTAGATTCCTTCATTTAACAATTATCTTACAGTAATAGTAATGTGTCGCTATAACTGCACCCAACACAACGTATGTATGTTCTATGACTTACAACCTATTACATGTAACCCATTATATTACTGCAAAGAGAAAGTGTTCTAGGTTTATATGATCATAATTACTCATTGTTACTAAACCGTGTTAATAAATAATAATAAAACCTTTATATTTTAACATTACGTATTATGCTACTATCGGTCAAGGGGTCTCGGATTCGATTTCCGAAACGGCGGAGTCTAAAATTTTGCCCGGTATATGGCAATAGGGTCACCCCCTATTACATGGGACTCATAACATAAAATAGTGAAAAATGGATGTTACATTGAACAGTGGTATTAAGTGCCGTAATGTGCCTCTGCCTACCCCTTAGGGGATAAAAGGCGTGATGTTATTTTATGTTTAACATTATGTAGGAACACGTGTAAAGTATGCCTTATTTATGTACTGTACTCAAAATTGTTAAAGGAAAATAAATTCTCCTCATAGTCCAGCATGATGACTTGTATCATCAAAAGTAATGGTCAGTTTCCTCGTCACCAAAGTAAAACCGGTTATAACTGGTTATCTATATTTGCGAGATATGTTATTTGACCTCAATGACTCCGTGCGGGAGATATTCTTGGCTTATCGTTGTCCATAAGGCATACATAACATAACAACACCTTTAGCTTTTTATCCCCGAAGGCGCAGGCAGAGGTGCACATTACACACTTAGTGCTACTGTACAACGTAACACCCACTTTTCACTATTTATGTTATGAGTCCCATGTAATAGAGCGTGAGCCTATTACCATATACTGGGCACAATTCAGACTCCGTGCTACTACTAATTTTTCTTAAAAAACCCAGTAAAAATTTGCCCGACTCGGGAATCGAACCCGAGACCCCTTGTCCGGCAGTCGCACTTGCGACCACTCGGCCAACGAGGCAGTCATTTTATTTGTTCATAGTACCTACCTACTTTATGTATCTCTCATAAAATTAGTTACATCTGGTATTGAGTCGTGATTTAAAAAAAAAACTGTTTTTGCTTTAAGTGTATAATTTCAATTTAGTTTAATGAAGCCAAAATGTTTAACAGAAAGTTTCAAATGTCTTAAGGAACATTTCATATTTCTAATAGCTGACTCGGCAAACTTCGCATCGCCTAAAATTTTTTTTCATTCGAACATTTCAAGACCAAAATTAGCCAAATCGATTCAGCCTTTCTCGAGTTTTAGCGACACTAACAAACGGTAATTCATTTTTATTTATATAAATAGATTTACAACTTGAATATGCACTGATCAGTAATCTTGCCGATAAATCTATTAAAATGAAATTTGTTTTGTTATTTCTTTGCTTTCCATAGTCTCTGCCTACCCCCATGGGAGAATTGCGTCAGGTCATGTATGAATGTATGTTTTGTTATTTTCCCAAACAATGTTTACTTACACATCTTACGACTTGACCTTTACGGATCATGATTGTTAACCTTACAACGTATTGTGTATACAATAATATTGACAATTAATATGATTGATATAATATGACTAATAACTATCACAATATCACATAATAATATTATAACAATAATCACACGATTATGTTGATATTATTGATATTACTAAACACAATACGCAATATTATAGCAGTCTTTTTGGAGCGACTGTTGTTGAATTAAATTCATCATTATTAGCAAAACAAGAAATATAATAATTCTTGTACAAACTACGTTTAAAAAAACCGACTTCAATCTCCTCGTTTTTTGAACTCGGTAAATAATATACTAATACATTATCTAACGTGTAACAAACACTTTACTGAAAACATCATCACAACCTGCATCAAAATCGGTTCTGTCTGAACCGATTTTGATGCGGGTGATCGCGAAAATGTCGATTCGAATGGAGAGGACGAGTTAGAAACACCATTCGTTACTCTTTTTAAAAAAAAGTCTGTTTTACATTGCTCTGATACATATTCCAATATTGTACACCCATGTGAGAATAATGTAAAGACATACCTGACGCAACATATATTTAACAGAACGTACTAAAATAAAAAAACAAAACCAAGAGAAAACAAATATCTTAAGTCTGACATGGTCCTCACATATGTATACTGACAATCCATATAAAATAGTGCTTCTATACAAGGAAAAAATAAATAAATAAACTCTTGTTTAAATAAAGAAAGAGAAGAAAGATCGCGCACATACATACGTACAATACATAGAGGTCAATCTGAGAACCACCTTCTTTTTTTGAAGTCGGTTAAAAATCAGTGTTGGGTCCTAATAAATGTCTGCACATTCGGTGCAGTGGCTGGGCTACCGGTTGCTGCGCCATGTGAGTTGGATTCCTTCCATGAATTTTTGTGTGATCTACAAATTTGTTCTTAGATCTGGGTGTGAATGTCTACATGAATGTGTATCTTTGGAAACACAACCACGTTATAGAAGAAAATCTTAGTATCACCAAGGTTAAATAAATAAAAATCAAGTGAATTACGATATTTCTTAGCAATTCTTTCCGCATTTTGTCATGGCAGCCAACAATGATCTACGTAAGCCATGGTCAAGTTCATGCAGAATGGCGTAACGATATGGTCGACTAGGTAGGAAACAATAGAATGGTGACCTTATTTGGTACTAATGGTGTCATTCAACCGAAATGGTCCTTCTATCCGCAGTTGTTATATTGATTGACATTGTCATGACATTGGTCCTTCCAAAAAATTTACAATGTAACTGATCGACGTTAGTAAATATCTACTGTTTTTCACTAATTACAGAAAAAAATTCAAACGATATCACCTGGGATAGTCAAAAATATTTAATATCGGTAAAAAATGTATATTCTTTCATCTTCACACCAAAGTCAAAATCATTTATTTCAATTAGACCAGGAAGGCACTTTTGAACGTCAAAACTAAACATAGAAATAATAAATAAATGTCAGTCTGAAAGTCAGTCCTCTAGTGAAGCTACTTGCTCGTCCCAAAGTGTAGATTCCTATGGAGAAGAACGAGAAAGAAACTTCATAGGCTACTCTTAATAAAATTCTTGGTTATATTGGTTCAATTATGTGAGAATAATGTAACACCACCTCATCATCATTATCATCAACAGCCGGAAGACGTCCACTGCTGGACAAACACCACCTCAGTTAAGGGGAAAAACAAGAAAATAACATTGAGGACAAACAAATTTAAGAACAACTGCATGTGATTAAATCACATCGAAATACTTCGTGCACTAGGTATACCTACTCATGAAAAGAAAACACACTTACCTATATGCGACTTCTTCTACCGCGAACACATAATTAGAACTATAAGCTGAGTTAGAGGCATAGGCCAGGCCTATAAACAACATCAACTGCCCATGGTAGGGTCCAAACATCGTAAACTTTCCCAGCACATCGTCCAAATGAGTTTTTATCGATTTCTCTTCGGAAGCCATGGCACTGCACTAATATATTATTTTATTTATTTTTTATTATTAAAATATTGCTCATGATCACTTCACTCTTTTTTTTATATTATTTTATATAAATTCTTTTTTTTATTTGCACAGCACTACACTCGCACTAAACCCACAGGCCACTAACAATTAAAAAAACATGAGTTTAAAAATCGAACACTCGCGTGTTATTTTGCACGCGGTTTCATTGCCGCCATGTTTATCAAACAGTGAGAAGAAAAACAACTAAAATGCCGTGTGCATTTTCACTGGCCCGTGGCACGAGACTAAGTCTCAATAATGAATGTAAATCACAATTTGTAGGACAAGGTACAGTTCGGGCAACGAACAAATGCATTGTAACTCGTTTGTCGTAACGACTCCCATTCACGGCGCGACTGTAATCGTACATCCGCTTCTAATACGCGTGACGACTAAATTGACGGATACAGATATATATCTTGTTATTGCACTTTCTTGTCTTTTAAAACAGATACAGCATAACATCACGCCCTTTATTTCTCGAAGGGCACGCGTTAAATAAGAGTTCTTCAATTATTTTACGAAAACCTTAATTATTATTAATTTTCCATCGTATTTGTTATTTAGATGATAAATATGTGAATAAAGAAGAAAAGTAATAATAATATGTTAGGAGAAATAATTATTATATTATCCTAGTTGTAAGCATTTTTGTAATTGGTTTTATTGAATGTAAGAAATTAACTTTATTATATTGTAAAATTTAACTTTGCATGCCGAAAACAGTAGGCGATGTATGTGGGACTATTTTTTATAATTATTACTACCTGTAATTACCATACTTCGTGCAAATAAACGTTCTTATTCTTATTCTATTCTTATTCTTATTCTAGACATAGTTTAAAAGTAATATTTGGAGTTAGTAGTATTCGTATAGGGTTAGATATACATGGGATACAGAGGGAGTGGGATTATAAGAAAGAAATAAAGAAAAAAATATTTGTCAGAATGTAGTTACAATAGGTGTTTATCGAGCGTACGGTGCGTCGCGTTCCGCGCGCGCCTCAAAGAGCCATCAGACCACCACAGATGGGGCCCAACAGGGCCGATGGCGATTCGGAGTCGCGGAGAATCTAACGAGTTATCGGGGCTCCGGCTCGACGTGCAGGAGAAAGAACGGGGTGGTTTTTAGTCAATAAGAGTTTAACACTCCCTCCCGCCTCACCCAGACGAGAGCAGTCATTCGATGATTTTCCTCCTATAAAAAAAAATACTTACCTATATATTTATACATATACTATTCAACAACAATGTTTTTGCAATCATTGTCATCTAGATAATGTTTAATTGAGTAGTAAGTAGCACTTGTTTAACAGAATCTTAAACATTATAATTATTTATAATGGGGCAAGAATGAAACTACTTCCTACACCTGGAAGTTCGGTACTATCCTAAACTCCAAGGCTATTTATATTTTGGAGGGCATTTCATCCAGGTTTTATTGGAATGCAATTTTATGGTTTATTTTTACGATCTCTTTTTTATCACGTCACAAAAGAGAATAACGTTAGATGAAGTTCAATACAAGTAGTTGATGTCACACTATTCTACCTCTATATTGGTTACAACGAAATTCTTTGATTATTTCTCAAAATAAAATATTATATTAAACTCCCTAGTGAATTTCAATGCTTAAAAATATTGCATTGCAAATAACTTTATATTTTTTAATTATATATACATAACTACCTCGTTGGCCGAGTGGTCGCAAATACGACTATCGGGCAAAGGGTCTCGGGTTCGATGCTCGGGTCGGGCAAAGTATTACTGGGTTTTAAAAAAAATCTAAGTAGTAGCACGGAGTCTAAAAATGTGCCTGGTATATGGTAATAGGCTCACCCTCTATTACATGGGACTCAGAACATTAATAGTGAAAAATGGGTGTTACCTTTGTATGCACCTCTGCCTACCCCATCGGGGATAAAAGGCGTGATGTTAAGATGATGATAGAGGTATACATAACGTTACGCCTTTATGTAATACCCACAAAACGGAATACCCACTTTTTACCAATCATGTTATCAGTCAGAGCAATTAATTCTCCGCACCATTACTTAGAAAAAACCGCGAATACTTTGGAATGGAATCGAACCAGAGACTCAACAGTTAAAATTGCGACCAGTCAACTAACAAAGCAGCCTTTTTTGCTAATAAGTAACGACAAATAAATCTCATAGTGAATGCAATAATAAAGTCTTTAATTAAATGTTAAAAGTCACGTCCTTGCTAAAAATAATGACGGGCATTCACTTATGCACGACGCCACTAGCAGTCAGAAGTGATTTGAAAACCATTAGATACTGCGGATTAACCTTTTAAATCAGCAATGATAAACTATGAAGGAATTCGTGTGTATTTTATCTTAACTATAAATAACTTGAACTTAACTTCGGGAACAAATGTTTTTCTAACCTACTTAAACTATTACATAACATAACATCACGCCTCTTATCCCCGAAGGGGTAGGCAAAGGTGCACATTACGGCATTTAACTCGTCGAGTACCGGTTTTATAGACACAATTAAAGAACAATAGGTCGCGGTCATCGGTGACCGCTTGGTATTTGACAGTTTAATGTCACTATACAATGTAACATCAATTTTTCACTATATGTTATGAGTCCCATGTCCATTTAACTGCTCTAAAATTTTGACTGCACGGTTGTCTCGGTGGTTGGGCAACTGGCTGCCGCGTAACGCATTGGGGGTTCGATTCCCGCACGGCACAACTCTTTGTGTGATCCAAAGATTGTTGTTTCGGGTCTGGATGTCATGTGTATGTAAACTTGTATGTTTGTAAACGCATCCACGACGAAGGAGACGATCCTAGTTTGGGGCAATTGGATTCGTTCCACAATTTGGTTAACCTCTTTTTATTTTTAAATGACATTTTATTTGTTTAATAATCCCAGCCATTTTCATTATGCCTCTTATCAGTCACAAATACAAATACAAAAACAAAATAATAAAAATTCCCTGCATCAACAGTTATTGATGCAGTAAATGTCATATTTTTACATTTTTGATAAAAAAAATGTACTCAAAGTTAAAAGCCTATAAAACAATATATATTTTTGTTATTTTTCTTGCATTCAACTTCATGGATGAACGATAAAAGTTTGACATTGCCTACTGGTAAACGATGAAGTTTTTACAACAGTTGACTGATCTATTATAACATTAAAATAGTATGACCTTGATGCCTACTGACCTTTATAGTCTTATAGTGTGAACAACAAATATTTTTGTACACTGTTTTTATTCAATACAAATAATCAAAGTATTTGAACTAATATGTTTGTAAACGCACCCACGAAACAGATAATTCTAGTGTGGGGCAACGTTTTAAAAAAACAATAATATATATAACAATCTTTTAGTAATTTATTTTTTAATATCAACAGAACAAAGAATGTAACATAAAAATCATAAAATGTAACAACTCTATTTAAATGTGAATAAAAAAATTTCGAATTTTGAATTTAGAATTTCGAACAATGCTTGTTTACTTATTGTCTATGAAAATATTTATAGAATTAATTACTTCTTTTAAGTATACAGAGTAACATTTTATTTCGATCAATAGATAAATAATGAAATTATTATTTTTATTTATTTCTTTCAATTTGAATTTTCGCATAATAGAGTTGGCGCGTAAATGGATCAGCGGGTTTAACACAACTTAGAAAGGACTTGTTGCCATATTGGAAACCAGAAGGCCGTTAATAATTATATTTACTACCTGACTAACTGATTTATACTCAAGTGTCAAGAAAGTATTCATTTAAAAAGTAAACGACTGCACGGTTGGCGTGGTGGCTGGGCAACTGACTGCCCCACAACGTGTAGCGGGTTCGATTCCCGCACGGATCTCTTTATGTGATCCACAAATTGTTGTTCCGGGTCTGGGTGTCATGTGTATGTGAACTTGTATGTTTGTAAACGCACCCACGACACAGGACAAAATCCTGGTGTGGGGCAATGTTTAAAAAAATGTTTTATTGAACTTGAGATCACTAAATATTCTAATGATTACACGTATAGCTCACTGGTTGGTTGACTGATTACAGCGCAGTGCAACAAGATTCCCGTACGGAATGTTTCTCTGTGTGTGGTCCAGGTATTAGTGTGACATGCATGTAATTTTTTTTTAAGCATACATATGACGGATCGCCTGATGGTAAGCAATCGGCGTCGCCAATGGACACCTGGAACATTAAAGGGGGTTTCAAGTGCGTCACCTCCTTTTTGGGGATTAGGAGTTTGAGGATCGTTGGGGATTCGGTGATTCAGGGAGATTGGGGAAGGGGAAGGTAATTGGGCTTCCGGTAACCTCACTCACAGGACGAAACACAACGCAAGCGGTGCTTTACGGTTTTCTTTGAATACGTGGTATCACTCCGGTCTGGCATAGGAGTAAATCCTAATATCGGAACTATTGTGCTTAATAAAAGTATTCACATTCGAATAATGATTGTGATAAGCACTAATTTGTACCCTATTTAACTTAGAAAAAGAAACATCTGTAGGATATCTACCAATAGGCTAGGTGCCTAACTTTTATTTTAATGTCCGTCTGGTAGATTATTTTAAATCATTAGACATGTATTTTTTACTTTCTTACAAAAACGAATACTTTCGACGATATATTGATTTGAAATGTCGCGTGACGTCACTTCAATGTACATTTTATACGTAGAAATGACGTTTAACCCCCACTCCTAAACTTTGATTCGTTTTATCTAAGTATTGTTTTATTATACGACAAAATAAAAAAAAAATACGTGTCTAATATTTTTTCACTACCTAACTTACGGACTAATTAAATTTTTAATTGTCATACCCTGTCATCATCCCAATTCGCTTTGGCCTACATCTTCCAAAGGCATGAGACCTTGTAGTCTCTAAAATAGAAATAATGCGATAATAATACAATGGAACTATGATATCTATGCATTAAGGTCGAATTTCATTTATCAGTGGGAGTAAGTCAAACCAGTTTTAGTTGCCGAAGAAATATTCAAATTGCCTTAGGACTTAACCGTGACCTCTTTCTTTACATAGACATGTGTTGCATTGTGAAAGTTAGATACCAACTTGATGTGCCGTAGGTAGATGAATCATTTTTATTGTTTACTAGCTTTTACCCGCGGCTTCGCCCGCATCACAAAAGGATAAAAAGCCAATGTGACATATACCAATACACACAGCGCCATCTATACCAATACTTTTGTTTTCCCTCGGGAATATCAAATTTTTCCGGGATAAAAAGTACCCTATTATTTAATCCGGACTTCTAACTTTACGTCTGCAAAATTTCAAAGCAATCGGTTTAGTAGTTATGGCGTGAAAGTGGAACAAACAAACAAACAAACAAACTCACTTTCCGATTTGTAATATTACTATAGTATATTATACTATATAGTATATTATAGTATAGT